CGTCTTGCTGCCCTCCGTTTCGGATCTCACCTGCTTCATCTGTTGCCAGGACAGGCTATTAGCACCTTTCCTCCGTTGCTGCGATCTATTTACTGCTTAAAACACTTCTCTGTTGATTGCTACCAATGTATTTGATCATCTAGGTACTTTCCAGATGGCCCCACAGGAAAAATCTTCCCTTTGTTGTTGTTGTTGTTGTTTTTTCTCTTAGCTGTCTTCCATTATCCACAACTGCGTATACAGAACCAACCAGCCTAAAAAATTCATCCTCCTGCCCATGCTTTTCATATCTAGATGCATAGTAATCCTGGCACCCCCTCCTTTAAAGTAACCATCTTTCTAAATATTTTCAGCTTTTCCTGAAAAATAGCCAAAAACTGATTTCAGGAGTAGGAATGCTTTTTTCTTCTTGTAAACATGGAGCGCATGGTATTTTTAAGGAAAAATATCGCCATTTGGGGACTGGCCCGATTGGTAACCCAGGACTGCATGTTTTCACTTGGGGTCCTTAAAAGAATATCATTCCCCACTTCCTTCCTTTCTTCGAATACTAGCAAATGCCTGTTTCCTCCAGTGGGTTTGGTTTGCACACGCTTAGAAAAGATGACTCCCCTGAAGCTTTCGCAGAGGCCACTTCCCCACTCCTTTGGATTACCTTAGCACCCGTGCGGGCTTGAGAAGTCAATATATCACGTTTTATTGGGACTTGGAGCTGTAAGTGGGGCAGTTGCCTTTTTACTAACCGGAAAACCACCTTTCTAGCAGCCTACAGCTCAGCCAGTAGGAGTTGTGCTAGTTAAAAGTCAGATGCATTGCTTTTAGTTGAGGATTTCTGATTTGAAAGAAAGGAAAAGCCTCCTAGGGTCGATCAAAGTCAGCCTCTCCTGCATCTGTATGGGGAACTTCCCTCTCTAATCAGCTGTTACTTCATATGATCTTGCATGCTGCATACTCTCGACTACCGTATGTACGTATGTTAGCGCCAGATCCTCTTTTAGTTTCAAGAAGAGAAAGTGGCAGACTAGTTCTGATTTTACTCTTTGCCTGCTCTGTTGGCTTACAAATCTCCAGGATAGCACCCTGATAATAAACAGGGTCTCTTAGCATTTTGGCTTTCCTGTCTGATCTGACCAATTAAGTCTCTTGGCAGGCTCATTGAAAGCATCCTGATAATTAGAGAGATGCTCTTTCCTCCTGATTAAAATTCAGCAAATGTAAATCGCATCACGCAAACGACATCGGAGGTTATTTTGGAGTTGAGGACTATAACTTGCTGTAGAGAGAAAACAGCTTGTACCGCACTATCTACCTTTCAATTTGAGTGTTATATTTGCTTCGACCCTGCCTACGGTATGAAAATTTGGTCTTTGTAGTGGCAAGAGGGCCTTCGAAACTTGATTTGTGGCTGCTTCCCCTGAAAGAAGGGCAAAGTCTATATGATTGCCTAATGTTGGGAATGGGACTTGTTAACTTGTTTAAAGGCTGCATCTGCAGCAGCAAAACAGAAACTGCACCCCGGGCGCAGAATGATCATCTAAAGAAAAACTGAAACAAAATTATGACATTTATATTTAAACAAACAATATTCTAGGAGTTATTGGCCAGTAGTCAAATGGTGACTTTTATCCAAGAGCTGAAGACCCAGATATAATGATAAAATCTTGCAGGCAACAGCATCAACTCCTGAGGGCTTTCTCCCCCTCCTCTTGGGGTCAGATGGGTATGTGCAAAGGCAGCGTCCAAATACTATTTGATTGACTTCAAGTTTTGGATGATGCAAATGGGCACAATCCTCTCTAATATTTACTTCAATTAATTTAGGTCACGTCGGCCTTGTATATTTTGTGGTTTGTATATTATTAAATGACAAAGCTATTAAGAAACCGTTCGGATTCACTAATCCAAGTTTATGTTCAAAAGGCCAAAAATACTAACATTCAGTGTGTGCTTGGTTGAAGTTGGCATTCAAAGTGTGTTTTAATCAGCTTGAATCTTGACCCTTCAGACTTTGGATACGCGTGACATAACACGAGTAGGGTTTGCTCTTCTGATATTAACTATTAAGTGCGTCTGTCTTAATTTTGTTCTTTATCTCACTGACCTACAGCGAGCCAGTAAGCTAGGTCATTAATATGTACTCAAAGCAGCCTCTAACTATTGGTTAACTGTTGTGATGGGCATACATTTTTAACTGTGCTTTGAATCTCTCCTTCCGCCTCCCTCCCCCTGTGTTGTAAACCCAAAGCATTTGAAGCAGACCTGCCAAGTGGTATTAACTGGAAACAGAAAATGAAACCCACAGGTCTAGCTGCATTATCCCGCCTGAGTAAAATACAGAATAAACTAAACAGTATAACCTAGGAGAAACCAACTTAATCTTTTTGTCAACATAAATTTTTACTTGACATCTTAATGAGATCTTAATGGTCTGTACATATAAACCACTGAAGTCAGTTGAATTGTACCAACAAAACTTGACCCAGCATAATCTTTTAAGGTTTCTACACTTGTGGTAGAAGAAACCTTCGTGCCAGTCGGTGATCACGAGGCAGATACCCGCTTCAGCGGGTGCGTCTACACGTTCATTAAGGCGCCTTAGATACTGCACACTTAGTTTAGTATTTCCTTGATAAACTCCTAAACTAAATGCGCAGTACCTAGAGTTACTACGCAGCAGCACCGACGCACAGTTATTTAATGACGCTTACTGTGCATTAGTCTAATACCGCGCGGGAGGCTATCTCCGCGGTTTGTGCCGTGACATGCTACTGCACGGGGTTATTAGGTTAATGTGCAGTAAATATCTTGTGTAGATGTGCCCAATGTGAATGTTGTCTTCATGGCGCTCCAAATTACTTGTGGAAAATATCTTGGCATATGTGGGGGTTGGGGGGGGGTCTTTCATTCTAACACTGAATATTAAATATAATTTGATACCTGTATCAAATGCAGCCCCATAATAAGACACTTTTAAGACGCACGGTGCTCTATGTGTGGGCCGAGGCAACATTACAAAACCTAGTCCCTTATCTTGTCCTATGGCAGGAATCTGCAAAGTAGTAGCTTTGCATTTAGAGGTCACAGGCACAGACATGTGCGTACACACATGGTTCTGGTTTTGATGCTGTTCAGTCCAGACCCATGTAATCAGAAGGTATGAAGCTGCAGCTTCACCTTTTCCTGGCAGCTGTTTAACCATGCATATTTGCTCCACCTGGCACCTGGCAGACGTTGCTAAAATTACATGCTTAACAAACTGAAGTACTGGAAGGTGGGGGATTCTGTACTTGGACTTTTGCTCCAGAGATGTCTCTCGAGGCCCCCAAATACATTATTTTACTTCCCATTAGTAGGCATTCTTCAGTTCCCGAATGTCTTCTGGTACTATTGCTTGGCCCACAAAAATCATTGCTTCCTACATAAGTGAAATGTGCTGTTTGCAGGTTTCGAGGCCGTTAAGAAATAAGTAATTTGTTAAAGGAGAGTTCCTTCCTTCTCCCCATCCCTTCGATACACAAGTTGTTAACAAGGTATGATGAGCACATTGACTGAGTAAATGATACTGAACTTTCCATGGTGGAATGGATGAATTCAACCCCTACTTTTCCTAGCTGTGCATATGCCAGCTTGCCTAAAATCATCACAGCAATTTGCTGTATGAAGTAGCAGACTTCCCCTGTGTCCTTCTAAGTACGTGCAGAGGAGCCCCTCTGCATATCTTGAAAATAGGACCTTTTTATTTATTTTATTTTGTGTTGGGGCATGAAACTTCCCAATGAGCTGATAAGCCCCATCAGGATATGATATGGCACTCTGATCATTCCTTAATACAGGGCACGTCTGCACGAGACGCTTAATGTGCAGTAGGCTGATGGCGCATTACAGTGTCACGGCAAAAACCATGCTATTAAGTTAATGCACAGTAGAGCAGCCTACTGCACAGTTATTGAGTACTTCCTTTTGCACGTACTCAACTTTAACGCTCAGAGGCACTGCTCATTAACGAACGTGTAGACGCACCCACAGGCTTGTGTATAATACCAGCTGAGACAGGGCAGAAAAAGTTAACTAGATTTGTGATAAATATTTGCATGCTTTTATGTATCTTTCAGTTGTACCAATGGCACAAAAGTCTAGACCCTGTGGGCATTTTTGTATTTACTCACCAGTATCTATTTCTCTGTAATTAGTATAATAGCCGACTAAGCCAAAGAGTAAATTTTCAGCATTCTTTATACAGGATCAGACATAACTTTGACTCCCCAGAAGAGCTGATGTGCGCTCAATTCCAATTGCATCATGGCAATGTTAATGAATTTTAAATACTGGGTTGCCCTGAAGTGTAGTTAAACATAACCGCCTAGTTCATCATGGTGCGTGGGGTGTGATTTTGATGGAAGCTGGAATTGAACCACATGTGGGAAGTCAATTAAGATCAATGCCTGGTTATATCTCTAGTCAAAAGCTTTTATTATCATATGTATCTGCCCTGATGCTGTATCATGTTCCTAATAACAGGAGCTCCCTTGACAACTAGCGCTCATTAAACAAATGTATTTCCTGAATGCGTTTCCCTGACTGTACTGCCAACATTTCTACTAAGTTCATTTAGACCAGGGAGTTGAAACAGGGTTACAAGCTCCAAGCAACAGGATTCATCTGTATCCAGTCCCTCGTCCCCCCCTCCCCCCCTGCCAGCATACCTATGTCAATCATGGTCTTGATGCTGCATATGCGTGTGCCCGCGGTCTGGAGAAGTGCATGGTTATCATTTGCCTGATCAATGCTCCTTCTGCCCTTCCTCTGCTCACTCTCCGGTGTGCCCCTCCAGTTCCTGAGAGTGACGAAGCAGTACCTTCCCCACGTGGCCCGCCTGTGTCTGATCAGCACCTTCCTGGAGGATGGCATCCGCATGTGGTTCCAGTGGAGCGAGCAGAGGGATTACATCGACGCCACGTGGAACTGTGGCTATTTCCTGGCCTCCATTTTCGTGTTCATCAATCTCTTCGGACAGCTGAGTAAGTGGCTCCGAGGCTGTTAAGGCAGATGCCAGAGTGCTCCCGTGCCTGCCTCCCTGGCTTGCATACTACTGTGAATCATCGAACCGCGGGAAGCCCACTTAAATATTTCTCTGACCACTAGGCTGTTGCAATTTGGTGGTGTACAGACTGAAAAGAAAAGGTGTTTTTTTTCCTTTTGTCTCCTTTCACAATCTTCTCCTAGAAACAGCCTCAGTTTGTTTTGGGTGGTGGTGGTGGGTCCACCTTTTGCTCGCCCCAAGAAAAGCAGGATGTGGTTCAATACTTAGTTGGCTTTGTTTGTATTTAACTTCTTGCAGCATTTATAAGAGCTGTCACTTTAATGCATTAGCAAGGATTAAACTAGGCATACATCTGATCCTCTGCTGCATTTCCTTAGTAGAATCCCAGAGGCGTTCTGTAGTCAACAGCAAATTAAAATAACGAGCTCTATAATGACTTGAGTGAAATGCTGAACCTGCTAAATTTAAAACCTTGGGGCAACCACTATTTCCTGTATGAGCTGCAAATGCAGTAACAATTCATTTTCTTTCCTCAGGTGGCTGTATCCTGGTGCTGAGCAGGAACTTTGTGCAGTATGCCTGCTTTGGATTGTTTGGAATTATAGCATTACAGGTAGGAGGCCTTAACTCTTCCAAAAGCCTAAATCTTATCTTTCAGATCTTCTTCTCTAACCCCACCAGGACAATTGATGTAAATTAGGGGTGCACCGATAACGATTTTTTTCGGCTAGTACTGATGACCGATTATTAACCAGCCATATTAGTCCATACCAATCCACCTGGCCAGGCTGCATACTAGCACTAAGTCTGGTGGGGTAGGGCATATAGAGCTGAGGGAGGGAATGGGGCAGAGGCAGGTGCTGCCCAGCCGGGGCAGGGTGTAGAATGAAGCTGTGGGTGGCTCATCCAGGGGGCACAGAGGTGCTGCCTGTATGCACCCCCAGGGGAGGCATGGGGGGCATTTGCCTCCCCAGATCTGTGCATGGGGCAAGGGCAGGGTGCCCACTGCGAGTTTGGGGCCGGGGGCTGCACCAGCCTCGTCCCAGCAGAGGGGCTGGGACAGGGCTGCGCTTGGGGAAGGCAGCAGCGGTGCTGAGAGGAGGGGCTACGGCAAATTTTGAGGTGGCTATAGCCCACCCTGTAGCCACCCCTCCCAGCACCGCTACTGCCTGCCTCTGCTTGCAGCCCCGGCCCAGGCCCCCTGACCTGGAAGAGGCTGGTGCAGCCTCTGGCTCCAGGTCTGCAGCGAGCAACCCACCCTCACCCGGTGCATAAATCCAGGGGGCATATACCTCCGTGCACACAGTGATAAGAGCTGCCCCTTCCCTCCTGCCCTCCAGACAAGCCACCCACAACTCTGTCCCACACCCCACCCCAGCTGAGCAGCAACTGCCTCTGCCCCACTCTCTCCCTCATCATGGAGGCCTCTATCTGGCCCACACCCCTTCTCCTGCACAGACTTACCAGCCGGACACTGCCCTCCAGGCTGCTTTCCTGGCCACCTGCATGCTGTGGCTGCGTACGTGCACACAGCGTTTATCAGTGACATTATCAACCATCGGCCAAAAAAAGCCAATGGCTGATAATGTCAATTTTCCTTTTATCAGTGCCGATACGGTATGGACTGATGTATCGGTGGCACCTCTAATGCAACTTAAAGCCACTCTCAAGAGTTCTCCTCCCATGAGCCTGCTCCTTCGCTTCTGCTTGCTATAATCTCTCACACCAACCCAGACAGAAGTGTCCTACGGCAAGATCTTCTTCTTGGATGTAGATGCAGCTAGAGACGGTGTAGCTGGAAGTATCTAAGTTCCATTTGGCCAGACTAGGTCCCACTTTTAAATTACCTTTTAAGTTTTAATCAACCTGTTGGATCAGGGAGCTACAGTTGCTCTGGTTCTGACCCCGCAGTGCTTGCCACAAGTCTATCGATATAAAACATCCTGTTTAGTTGAGAAAGACCTAATTCTAACTTGGCTTTGGCTAAAGGACAAGACTGTGGTCACAACTTTGTCACCAACTTGGCCTGACCACAGGCATGAAATTTAACTTTTCTGCCCTGCAGCAGCATGGTGCGTACACTTGACTCTCACAGCAGCTTGTTGAGGCTTTGCTGTCTGCAGAGGGCTTTGAGATTCACAGATTTAGTGTGCTGTATTAAGCCTGTCTGTTAACAAGTGGTCCTGGTCTTGTATACCTAAAACAAACAGGTTCTAATAAAAATTGCTCATGGTTCTCATTCAAAGTGACCTGCTTGACCAAGTAAGTACCCTTTCAAGGTGCTGTTGGTCTCTGCATTCTGCTTTTTATCTCATGGACATCAACATCTTTTAAAGCTTTTGTCTGTTAAGGAGATGGTAATGTTTCCATAACACAGCATCTAACTACTTGTGTTCTTTTGCCTAGACCATTGCATACAGCATACTATGGGATCTGAAGTTTTTGATGAGGTAGGTCTTTAGGTTTTCTGTGTTCGTGTAAACAGTGTCTGTTCTCTTCTCTGGAAACATTCTCCAGGAAGAAGGGAATCCAGATTTCTTTATACACATCACCTCTGTATACAGTAAAAACTTACCCAGTAGGTAGCGATTTTCTGAGGAGCCCATTGGTACGAAGTAGTAAGTGAGCAAACAACTTTAAGAAGTCAGAAGCAAAATCTAAAACGTGTTGTACAAGATGCAGAGACTAATCCTAAAGTATCAGGAACAGATTGCCTGGGCCACATATCTTTGCTGAGATCAGAGAGACTAATGTTTTTTTGTGGACTGGGAATCTACTTTATTTCTTAAAAGTTAAAAGTGAATGATGCTATATGTCTGTCCAGCTGAACTTAAATGCAGATACCAAAAATGGCCCTGACACTTCAAATTATCATTTGCAAATGATGGCACTCAGATTTCCTAAGGAGAAAGGCAGAGTTGGGCCTCTGAGCATGGATCTTTTTGTGAAGAAGTTCCGGCTGACAGCAGCTAGCCAAGTTCCTACATTTGGCTTCTCTTGCTGGAAGTGAATTGGATTATGTTTTCCTACTGCAGTTTTGAGCCCAGAACAATTCTTAAAATGTGACTTGATGTGGAAAGGCACAGCCACCAAACACCTGTGCCAGAACAGTCAGCAGTCTAACATGCCCAATGTGCGTGATTCAGACCTTACGCTTGGTGTGATGGCTCCTGGGCTCGACAGGCAGGATTTCCACAAACAGAAAGAGGAGCTTCTTTGTGACAGTCGTTTTCAGCCTGCATAGGTCTATGTTGCTATTCGTTATTTGGTAACCATGCATACAGAAGAAATCGTACCCTCCACACATCTGCAGCTTTAGCTATAACAGGCATAAAACCCCCCAAAAGAAACGTTGCTGATGCAGTCTGCCTCAAGAAGCTGCTATTACTGCATGCTCCCACCAGAGATTTGTTTTTACGCATTAGAGTTCTTTGTTACACCCCTCATAAATTGTCCTGGGACTTGCACTGACATGGAGATCTGTTGTCTCCCCTTTTCCCTCTAGGAACCTTGCACTGGGGGGAGGTTTGCTGCTGCTTTTGGCTGAGTCACGCTCCGAGGGGAAGAGCATGTTTGCTGGTGTCCCTACTATGCGGGAAAGCTCTCCTAAACAGTACATGCAGCTGGGTGGACGTGTGCTGCTGGTTCTTATGTTCATGACGCTGCTCCATTTTGATTCCAGCTTCTTTTCTGTAAGTATTTGGATACCGGACAGTGTCAAAGCATTGGGCTCTGCTGCTTTCCGAGTGGCCCTGGAGCCTGCTCCATGAACATTTGTGCAAGTCCTTGTTGATTTTTGCTGGGACTCCTTAAATAAGGCTATATGGCTATACCTTGGACATGGGAAAACTGGTAGTGTCTCAGGAGCATTAGGATCATTTGAGTTCGTAAAGCGCTCGGAGCTACTAAGCTAGAGGCAAATAAAGGCAAGTATTAGTTTTCTTTGCACTGATATTTCCTTGTTTCAAGCAGTAAGATTTGTTTCTCCAGGCTTGTCTTTAAGCTATAGCTGAGACACCACAACACGTAAACAGCTTGGGTTACAACATCAAACTGCAGGTAGCGGTACCCAAATAACTACCTTGGGGATGGAAGAAGGGATACCCACAGCTAAATTCTGCCCCTAGCATCCAGTGCTCACAATCATGCCACTGTATCATTGCAGCCAAGTGCATGGCTAAAGGTAGCACAAAGAGCAGCCCCAAAAGACCTTTAGCTAAAGAAATCTAATGACTAATAGGTTGGTGCTTATCTTCATAAGTCACAGGCACCTGTTTTAATTGCATTTACCCCAGATCTGCTAGAGTGACTACACCTCCACCTCCTGCACCCACAGGTTGCTAAGATCTGTCCGTTAACTCCGAGTTCTCTTCTCTGTGCTACTGCAGATTTTGCAGAACATCGTGGGCACAGCCCTGATCATCTTGGTGGCAATTGGCTTTAAGACAAAGCTGGCTGCCTTGACTCTGGTCATCTGGCTGTTTGCCATCAACATCTACTTCAACGCCTTCTGGACCATCCCCGTCTACAAGCCCATGCACGATTTCCTCAAATACGACTTCTTCCAGACCATGTCCGTCATCGGAGGGCTCCTTCTGGTGGTGGCCCTCGGTCCAGGGGGTGTCTCCATGGATGAGAAGAAAAAAGAGTGGTAACAGGAGCAGCAGCACTTCTTAGGACATGACACCTTAAGTCCAGGACTGATTCTCTATGGATTCAACAAGAACTGCCAACACTTTACACGTAATGGCCCCCTTCCCCTGTTAAAGGCACAGATGTTTTGAGAATCTGATTTACAGTGGCACCAGTACAATAATACATGCATCCTGTTTCTTGGAGGGACATGGCTAAGGTTTATTGTTTTAACTTTTTTAGAATTGGAATTAACCCAAGGAACCTGCAGTTCTAAGTACTTCAGTGTTGCAATAGAAGAGTCACTGCCCCTTCTGCCTGTAACAGCTTTTTAAATGTAAAGTACTGTGAGCAGAGGCAACCATATCATTCATTCAGTGTGCTGTTGGGTTAATCCTCACTTACATTTTAGCTATGGCTAAATGAGTTAATTCCCTCATCAGAACTCAAAATCCTGTCCCATCAGAAATGCCAGCAGTTGGCTTTAGCATGGTTTGTTTTAGTGAAACCTTACTCCAAGAGAAATTATTGTTTAAGAAAAACAACAATACAGTATTATCTACCCTTTCCACAGCCAAACCGCACGAAGGGAGAAAGCAAAGCCCAGCTCTCGGCATTTTTCACTAGGTGAGGAAAGGAAAAGGTTTTTTCCTTTAAGGAAGATGGAAGATATCACTTCCTTATGGGACAAGAGGTAAAGATGCTGAATTGCTTATATGAGTTCAATAAGGGAGTTTGGGGAGTATCATTTAAGGTTATTGAAGTGCTGTGCCAACATCAATCCTATTCAGTGTTTGTTTTTTTTTCCTCTGTCAGAAGAGCAAAGCTATACTGCTCTTCCCAAGAGACTCTTCCATAATCTACAACCCAGCTTTGACTTCCATTTTTTCCTCTATTACCTTCAACCTGAGCTGTTATTGTTGTAAACACAATTTGTAGGATGATGATCCCTTTTTGTGCACTCAGCTGAAAGCTCTGAAACAGTGTTTTGCAGCATGTGCAGGTTAGGAGCAGTGTCTGTGCTTCTAGGCTATCGGTCCTCTTGTCCCCTGATGTATCTTTGTCAGTCTCTCTTGCAAAGGGTTTTAAAACCTTAGCTTGCAGTGTCAGGTTGTAGACTTCTGAAGAGGGGCCGGGCTGTGGCATTTCTGCACGTATTCATGGGCACAGGGAAAGTTTTCCTGCCAAGGCTCTGTTGATCTAGTCCTAAATAGTGCCCAGCTATTAGCTCTGTGATACCTTGTCCCTTTGAGTCTCTGTTTCAGTCTGCCTTGCTTCTGGCAGCAGCAGACTAGAATTTCATACCTCTTTGCTAATCAGATGCTAACTTAGTCCTTCTTACGTTCTGATCATTTCACTGAAAGGGACGGGGATAGTCCTCCAGTTTAATGGGCTGAGAGAAAAGAAGGAACATATTTTGTCTTTCACTGGGGTAGCCTACGCCTCCTGTGTACATATCTAGAAACCATGCAAAGAAGCAGTGTTTCATCCTCTGCTAGCCAAGTATGTTGATTCCCCCTAAGACGATTCAATGAGGTACTAAATCCATGACCTCCCATTAACTAGTAGCCAGGTAAGGTACATAGGGTAGCTGCTGGACCAAGAAACCAAAGAACTGCTACGTGAGTATCTACATGTAATTCTCATGTAGCTAACAGGAACATACAGTGCATGGAAGTGCTGACCTGGACAGTGCAACTTAAACAGCTTTAGTTTGGAAAACAGAACTACTCCCCACATCTGATGACAAATAGAAAAGCTTTCACAAACATTTAGCTAATGCCATCAGGGTGTTAAGGAAGACTGGCCTTCGTGGTTAGATAAAGCACTGCTGCTGAAATTTCTTAAGCTCTTTTAAAATCAAATGGTATGTTAACCCACCACTGCCTTATTTCCTGGAATTTGCAGGAGACTTTTCTCCTGCCACTGCTTTCACACTGCCTGTGTCTTCATCACAAGGGAACCTGGGGCATTCTGCCGCACCGCAGGTACAATCTCTTCTCTTCTGTGCTGACAGTCAGCATACACAAACACGAGTCTCCTGAGATACAGACCCTTCCCAACACTCTTAACTGCTGTGGATGATTCTTGTATTTATATGTTAAATAGACAGAAGCCAGGTTTTCTTATTACCCTTAGTTAGCTTTCTTACCTCTGATTCTTCCAAGCTAAAGGAGTTTGATTGCTTTGGAAGAGAAGCAGTTCAATCAGACACTAACTGATCTGTGAAAAATAGTCCTCTCATCAAGAGACTGCCTGTAGCTCCGCGATAGCCAGGCACCCCAAAAAGAATTTTCCCCTTTTAGGAAAAGTAACTATCAGTAGCCTTTGCAGCAGGGATTTTGCAAGTACAGTATCATCACTCAGTACTAAGTGAAGGGTTTTTGTTTAAAAAAAAAATAAAAATAAAAAGACGCTGCTCTTCAAGACAGCACAAAACTAGCCATAGCATTTTAGCAAGAGTCTTCTGCAACAGAACTAGCTGTCCCCTACAGATGCTGCTGTACCCAGACATCTCCCCAAACTGATGGCGATTTCACCACTGGTCAGAATGAAAAAGCCTCCTATTCAAAAGCAGGATTTCTACTGATTGACTTTTGCAAAATGTTGTGGAATCCATTTTGAATATATTTTTTGCTTTCTATGTGGAAAAAAGAAAATAAGTATAAATTCCCATTTTATGATGTATTTTGTACCTTAGTTGTGTTTGAAAATGTTTTGATTTTTGGAAACAATCAAAATAAAACGATGGCATCTTTGTTGTATCCACTTTGAGCGCATGGTTAGTGACCGACCCTTCGAGGATGTTTTTGGACACTGTTCAGTACTGGTACCTTATCTCCGAGAGGACACGCAGCAGTAAGTGTTTCCCACGCTTCATTTTTGTTCCGCTTATTAACAACCAGGTCGGTGAAGTCAGAGAAAAGGAAAGATGTACAATAGCCACACACGGTACCTCATGGTTGCAGGAGTGAGGGCTCCATTGGTGTCTCTCGAGTCAGAGTGTCATTATAATAAGCGTGCCCACAACCTGTTTGCTCCATTTTACTCTATCAGAAATGAATGCAACCATACAATGCAGACAAGACACCTTTGTAACCCTCCATTCTGCCCATCTGGGGGATGAACACTGGCACCGCTCCACAATAACCAGCTAGACCTGTAGCGTGTTTCTCATTTACATAACTTTATTTGCCATTGGCTGCTTTCTTGAAGCTCTTGGGTTTTCGATGGCGACTCTTAAATTTCTTCTTCAAAGCACCCGATTGTTTCTGTGAAAAAAATAGTTCACTCACTTTTCAAGAAGTTCTTTGTCCTTCTGGGCTAGCATGAAATGGCGCGTAGCCAGGACCAGAAAGCAAACACCTGGGCCCCACCAGACTTCACCGTCTTTAGGCTGGGTGTCAACACGATCTTGTTTGCAGAGAACGTGGACACAGCCAAAGACGAGGCATTTCCTTACCTCAACCCTTGCCTACAATCTGCAAGCTATTGTACCTTTCCTCCGCTTTGTCATCACGTTAAATGGCAATACAGGCAACCCTCCCCATTCGCAGGGGATACGTTTTCGTATCCCCCACAAATGGCGAAATCTGCAAATAAGGCACTGCGTTCATGTGCGCTGGGGCAGGGGGACGCAGCTCCAGCGGGAGCAATCACAAAGCTCCTGAGGAGTGCATAAGTGTATAAAGTGCATTTAAAATGCAGATTCGGCATTTGCGAATATCTGCAACCGCGAATGCCAAACCCGCAAATAGCAAAGCTTTCCTATACTGCCAACCTGGCTGCAGATGTGAATCAGACTACCACAGGCTGATCTCCCAAGACTGGCATGTTCCTAACAGCAAGGAATCCACTTCCTCTGCTCAGGACTTTCTTTTAGAGTTGGACTTATCAGCAAGGATTTTTCCAAAATCCCTATACCTGCTATATACAGGGGCCAGGAAGTCCAGCTGCTTCCCAAACACACAGCAGGGATTTGGATGCAAAGATGTGCAGGATCAGGACAGAGATGTCCTCTGGGGAGGAGATCCACTGTACAGCATCTGGGTAGTTACTGAAGGGAGCTGGGGAAATAAGAGCGAATATACTAACCCTATGTCAAGGGAATTAATTAATGCAGGGAAGAGATTTTACAGCCCAATCCCCTTGCTTTCCAAAGCAAAGTGTAGGAGGGCTGATATGGAGATCTGATAATTACACAGCCAGGAACAAAGAGCCTCAGGAAGATGAATGTCTACCAAGAAATGGTAGGCTTATGGTCTACGCCAGCTGCTCACTGTTAGAAACTTCCATGCAAGGAAATGTTAGGCTTTCACTTGCCCCTCTCACAGGTCAGCAGAGCAGATGGACTATTGGTGCGAATATGCAGGATACCGTCCCTATGCTCCCATACAGAGGTTCACCTCATGTCCCAAGCTCACCCCGGGGCACTGCTGTCCATAGCAGTGCAGCACTCACCTTTCCCCTTTTGCTGCCTTGTCCATCCAGGTCCATTTTCTCGCTCTTCTCCCCATTCACATCCCCGTTTTCCCCAGCCGGCTTGGCCTTGTCTTCCTCACTGTCTGTCATAAAGTCATCGCTGTCTTCCCCACATCCTGCAGCTGCTGGGCTTTTTTCTGGGAAAAGCTCAGCTAAAACACAAGGCAAGACCCAGATGGGGCCAAATTCTGCTTCACACAGGCACCTGCTCTCACTCCACTTCAGATACATCCTAACAGGGGTTTCAGGGACATCCTAATGGGGGGACGGACCAAGCTGAAGCATTAGACTCCAACCTCTATCACCAAAGGCCTTCAGTGACCAACTGGTATGTTACTACTGAAACACCTGGAAGGCAAATAAGCTGACAGCACATCAGTAGCAATGGGCCCAGGACCTTTAGTAGTCCAACTACAGGAGACATTCAGCCCATGATCCTCTAATGCATGGGCACACCGCTGGCCAGGCATCAATAGAACTGCCATCCTGGCCCGCTCCTGCCGCTGTCCTTTCAAAGTAGCAAAGTTCTGCCTCTTTCCATAGAGTCTTGCCCATTTTTACGCACGACCAATAAGTCCTCTCATCCCACTCCCTATGCTGCTAATGGGGATTCGTAGCTGTTAGGGGCTGGTCATCGGGTCCAGCCCCCCTGCACTTGAAACAGACTTGCCTTTCTAGTGAGTGCCAGGAAGGACCGAGGGAGGAGAGGGGGTCCCTTTACAATATTCGGAAACGCCAAAGCTTTGCTCACGTGGGTACAGGTCGCTCATGCTGTCGTCACTGTCCTCCTCGTCCTCATTGCTGGATGCGGGCTCCCAGAAATCCCCCCTCTTGCAAGGCGGCTTGCTCCCCTTCGGCTGGTCATCATGCCGCCGCTGCCGCTTCTTCTGCAGCAGGCAAGCAGGCACATACTCCGTGCCCTCCTTCTGGCACTCCTCATCTAGTTAGGGAGCAGAACAGGGGGACTCAGCTAGGATCACACACAGAAATGCAAGCAATTCAGCAGCTTGCTGGCCTAATAAAGGAAGATAGTGAACCAGAGGTAGAGCAAGGTCCTGGGTAGCTAGTCAGTGCAGTATGAACTGCAACTGCACCTTTCACATACCTTGCCCCTGCAGAGACCTAGGGAGACACCAAAGCCAATGGATGCAAAATGGGAGCATGCATTTCTATCTTGCTGCCCTGGCAGCAACTGTAGCAGGGGTGTGCACTGAGCCTGACACCTTTTGCAAGAGCCAAACATCCCCAGAGACCCAAGTCTATTCTGTCCAGAGAAGTCCAGCACTGCAGTTTCCCTCACGCCCTGCTCCTACTCTGACCGGGACATACCTCTAGCGGTGGCAGCGCAATTCAGTCTCCATGTTCCATTCAAACCTAGCTTCTGGGATGCAAATGCAAACACCTCCCATGGTAGGGGGTGCTGACTTTTACAAAGCAAACACTTGTTCCCAGGAACCACCAAGCTCACTACATGCAGGCCAACAAGCAGCCATCGGGTACAACTGGCATTCAGTCACTACTGAATTGAGCCAAACACTGCCACCAGGAACCTACAAGCTTCAGTCCCTTTACTGATAAAACAACATTGCCAGGCTCATCTTGACTCTTATCAAGTCCCCACAGATATAAGCCACCATCCAAACTTCCACTAGTTGGTGGCTGAACATAAGGTGCTCAAGCTGGGACATGCAGACAGCTGGCAAATCCCTCAGGGCTGGCTTCTCCAGCTGCTAAGCTGTATTGACAGGGAGTTAAAATATTAGGCCTTCCCATAACTGTATGTTCAGTGTTAATGCCAGAGATACCACATGATGCCATAGATAGAAAAGCATCCACCGCACAACCTCTGTATTTAAGCATTAGCTGCAGTACAAAAAGGTCTGAGAACCTCTGCTCTAAAGCAAAGACACTGCTTTGCCAACTAGAGAAAAAAAACCGCAAACAGCAGGCAGGAGCACTGCTCTGTTACTAGCAAGTTGTCGAGAGCTTCCCCAACACTTCCCACCTACCAGGCTGGGTGCCACAAGTACAGATCAAGAAAGATGTTGCAGAAGGCGCTAACACCACTTACATTTTTTCAGCGCCTTCTGATAGCGCTTCCCTTGGACATGACGCAGCACGTGCTCCGGGACCCTGTTGATGTGCCTGAGCGTGAGCTTGCAAAACAGCTGGTGTCTACAGGAAGAGACATGGATGTGAGCACAGCGAAGTCAGCAAATGGAACGGTCCACGTCCGAGTAATGAAACAACGCTGTAGCCGTGACGGTCCAAAAAACATGCAAGAGGCTCAGGCTCTTGTGGGTTCTCTCTTTTACTGTTCTTTTACGGTGCGGATAGATTTAGACGAGTTTTTGGGGTATCACAGATCTTGGACCTCTGAGAGAGAAGCAGATGGAGACCCCAAGGAGGGCACTGCGGTAGCCGAAAGCTGGTCTAAGCCTGTCCCAATCAAGCAGCTGCCTCAATAACAGACATCACCTGTGAGAGTCCTTGCCTCTCGCATTGCTCCTGGGTGGGCGGTTTAAGTCAGGGGTGTCAAAACATGGCCTATGGAACCGTTCCAGCCGGCTTGCTGGTGATCCAGCAGACAACCGGCGTGGGCAGTGGAGCGTGTCCTGCCACAGAATTCGGGGTGCGTAGGCCCCCACTGGACATGCCCACCAGCAACAGGGGGGAGAGAGGGCTATGCAGACACCACCCTCGCTTGCCTGGCTGCTGGCCACCCCTGGACCCTCTCTGCTGCCTGAACGCAGACCTGCCCTGCTGGGCCCAGGGGAGCCCGCACAGTTGGAAGCTGCCCCGAGGCCTGTGCAAGTTCGACACCCCTGCTCGAAGGCGGCAGCGAGCAAAGCTGCATTGCAAAAGCTTTTCCAGCCCAGCAAGCAGCTTCCCTCCAAAGCACGGAGGCCTCCACCCTGCCCCAGCCGCCAGCACGGGGGTTACGCACGGGTTCTTGGTGCTGGGCACGATGTGGGGTTCGTAGTCGCTGTAGTTAAAGGCGCCAGGCGTCCCGCTCAGCCGCAGGTACCTCTTGCCGCTGGTGTAGGCCTGCAGCTCGGGCAGCCGGCAGGGCAGCTCATGCCCCGTCAGCTCGCAGCGCACCTGGGGCGAGGGGGGAAGAGACATGTGAGACGCCAGCTCCTGCACCCACCCCTGCTCTGCGCCCCTCACGCAGGGTCTGGACAACGGTCCAGGCACGGGCAGTTTCTGATTCCTGCTCCACCCAAAGCTGAACACCAGCTGCCAGGCAGCGACACCCCCCGACACCCACCCGCGCTACTCCCCCGCGTGGAGACCC